TATATGAATTTCCAGTATGACAGATTAGATTACAAATAACCTTGAGTTAACTGTAAAAGCAAAGTGACATTAACAAATACTTCAACTACAAACTGGCTTCCATACTATCAGTGGTCATTCCCGTCTAATGTTTCAGTTCCACAGGTCCTATGTGTAAGGTTACAATTCAAGCAACATATCACCAATCAAATCCCAATATAAAACATATAAGAAGACAAAACTAAAAGATAATCAAATTCAAGATCTAGGTCTATACTAACAGAAAAGTACAATCTGCTTTCTAATATTGGTACATAAAAATATTTGCACTCATATGCGTAAGATAGAATTACACTAAGCCTCCTATAGATCAACTTATTTCTCAAACTCTCAAACCTGCCAGTTACAGATTTATAAACAGAAATTATTTCAGATCCATACTCTGTATAAAAAGGCTCATTGCCTTTAGATGTGATCAATGTCTTAGATACCTTTTTTTTTTTAAATGTTCAATTTTTAAAAAATGTTCAGGTTACAAATATTCAATTTTGGAAAAGAAGCATCTTCTTTAAAAGATATGAAATTATGATTTTTCCCTCTAGCACAGGGGTCCCCAACCCCCCGGTCTGTGGAGCAGTACCGGGCCACGGCATGATAGCAACCGGTCCACACAAACAAGCAAAGCCCCATCCGTGGGATGCAGGTAGCACAGAAAACCACGCACCCTCTGGTCTGCGGAAAAACCTCTCTCTACAGAACTGGTCCCTGGTGCCCAAAAGGTTGGGGACCTCTGTTCTAACATGAATAAAACTTCACTAAGTCTTCCGAAGATGTAGCCTAAAGTGTAAATCTCAATGACATCATGCAGAAACAAAACAGAAAACATACTCAGAACTAAGCATTTTGAAAGAAAAAATATTTTCAACTGTATATCAATACTTTATTTACTTGAGTGTTATAGACTGTAAAAAATATTTCCCTAAATAGAAGCTCACATAGGAAAAATATTACTTACAAAAAAAAATTGAATTACGTTCTAAAAATAGAACTTTATACAAAAGATATGAAATATCATGAAAACCACTGCAAAGTGTTGCTACTGTATATAAGCTACATGACAATCAAACAAATGTTAATCCTAGAAGTTGTAAAACCAAAGAAATAGAATACAATACTCATAGTCCAATTAGGAGTAGAACAACACATGGAAGCATCCAAGACCTGGATTCAATTCCTGCTTAAGAATTTAGCAGTAAATGGTAACTATACCCAGGAAACCATGCATATAGAATTGTAACTTACCGAAAAAAGTTGTTACAATGGTACCTCAGTCCTCCCTGGTAATTTGTTCCTGAAGACGCAACGGATACTAAAACTGACAAGTACCAAGAAAACCATGTGATTTATCACATGACCCACTATTTTGGCTGGAAGAAATAGCGAGTCACGAGATAACCGACATCAGCACATTCTTCCATGCACAAGTGCCAGGACAAGATTTCTGCTTCAAAATGCATCAAATACCAAATTTGATGAGTTTTGAAGCAGTCAGGTGCCAAGGTATGACTGTATCTTGTTACACGTACATGACTATCAATATAATTTATATCTAAGTAAATAGCGTTTGGGTTTTAATATCAATGATTTTTTTAAAAAATCATTAATTCTTAGCTTCAGAACACAGGAATGCTAATAAATATGGAATTTTTGTTATTTTCCCCTTCAACAAAATCACCTAACAGTGGCTGAAATAAACAAAAGTTCAACCCAATATGTGCTTATTCAAAATACATCTTGCAATGATCGGTGAGTCTTAGTCACACATGCATGTCCATAGGATTGTGACCCATAATATAGTAGTATTCAAATGCACATTCATAGTGCAATCTAATCACGAATATAATCAATTTGGTTTGAAGAGTATGGTCTAGTGGTTAAGGCTAGAAATCAGGAGAATATAAGTTCTAGACCCACCTTAGCCATGAAAGCCAGCTGGGTGGCCTTGGGCCAGTCACTATCTTTCAGCCCAACTCACCTCATAGGGTTGTTATTATGGGGAAAATAGGAGGAAGGAGGAGTGTTGGATATGTTCACCATCTAGGGTTATTTGTAAAAATAATAAAGGTGGGATACAAATAAATAACATTATTCAATAATAAATCATAATTGACCTAAGATCTCAACAATTCTAAATTCATAAAATTCAGACAATCTAAAATTATTAGAGATACTGTGCAGTTGAATCCAATGCTGCCCGGTTAGATTTTTGCTAGAAAAGTATTTGTAAATCTGTTCCTGACAGGGAAGGGTTTCTTCTGCTGATGCAAGCAAACATGCTACTGAATTCAATTGATCTTAAGTCGTAATTAAATCTGATAAAATCAGTAAAAATTAATAAAATATCACAAACTGTATTTGTTTTGGATATATCACCAAGATTCTAATCCAAAACACATACCATCATAGATTACCAAACTGTAATATCTCTCTTTTGCAGACTGAAAGCAGGTAGCATTTTATCTTTTATAAAACATCTACGTCAACTATTATTAGCATTTACATCTGTACATTTTTTTAATTCTCAATGCATAAGGTACTATACAAACAAGCATGCAAATATACATCTATTAATATATATTACAAAAATTGAGTATAAAACATAAAGCCAAATATATAGCAGAACAAAATAGTTTATGAAAATGTTCATGAAGAGTGGGAAGTATCAGTAAATTCAGCAAAAGAATTGTCATATTAGTGAGATGCAACAGCATATAAATTTAATAAATAAAACTATTTTTCAATATAATTAGCAGGCTCCTTATCAAAAAGGAATGGATTAGTATATCACTACATATAAAATGTTCTATTATTGTAATAATCTTTGCCAAACAATTAAGAAAAGGAATTTGATTTAAACATTTTGCTAAAATTTCAGTGATGTTGTAACTGACCTTCATGGAGCAATTCCTGGGCCTAAATCGATTCCACATAGCATCTGACCTTTGCAGGTTCTCTTATTTACTAGAAAGTATATCTCTGAGTACAGCCTTCTACACTCTATGGTATATTTCACCTATCTTCTTTAAATAACAATGATGCCCATTAAATATGATTTCATTTGCACACAGCAAAACAGAAGTTATTTTAAAAGATCAGTTAAAAAATATTTACAGTGACATCATTAACTTAAAACAGAATCAGGCAATATGCACCTGTGGATACTTCCACCTGTGCCTCTAATATGCTCTGCTGGTGCATATGATTTAATTAATTCTTAATTTTTTCTCCAGAAATCCGTTTAAGAGAAACATCAAACTCCAGTTACCTTCCACATTTATCTCCCAATATGACTGGACCCAAAATATGTTATTAGTAAATTAAGATCCTGGAGTCCAGTACTCCATTATCAATTGCCAAACAATGAAAAATTAAAAAAGAAACAAATGACCTCACTGCTATAAGAGGAAAGCTTAAAGATGGTAGCAAATGAAGAGATCGAACTGATTTCAAGGAGAATTAGAGCTGACCCAATGTAGTAGAAAAGGGGACGGGAAAACATAAGCAAATATCATATGGGCAACAGAGGGCAAAGGGGGAAGTTAAATGGTTGGAAGAAGTCTAAAGGTAAAGGAATAAAATCTCTCTCTTCTAGGGATGGCTTATGTGTGAAAGCATAGATGAGGGGTGTCAAACTCGCAACATCACATGACGTGTCGCGAAGTACCGTGACTTTTTTGCCCTTGCCGGCAATGGGGTGGGTGCGGTTTCGCTATGATGCATCCATCCCAAGGGCCGGGAGTTTGACACCCCTGGCATAGATGAAAAGAACTTGAGGAGTAACCCCGAAAGAAATGTGGTTTCAATATTATTTTTCAGCTTGCATTGAAGTTTTCTTTACGTAATAACTTTGGCATTTTATGAAATGGATACTTTCTTGGAAGTGGATGCATAGGCATTTGTGATACTTATATTTTCTGAAAATTCCATATTCAAAAAGAAAAACTCTAGAAGTAAAATTATTCATATAAGCTATGGTCCATTTTTTTTATAAAAGCCATATATAAATTATATTAAATTTGAAATTTGGACACATATTCATAGAATTCAAATCCAGTTAATTATTTCCCAACTGATTTATAAATATTACATAGAAACACATAAAGAAACCCAGTTCTTACATACAGATATGCTGCAAGACAGGGCAAACAATCCAATATTCTCCTTATGTTTTGGAGTACAAATCCTATCATTCCTTGCCACCGTCCATGCTAATTAGAAATGAGAGGTGAAATTCAAAAAGCTGCTTTCTGTATATTTCAATCCCAATAGTGATTATATCTTACCCTAACAAATTGTTACTGCCCCACGAGCTAAATTTATGGGAAAATTATAGCATATTACATAAAATGTATAAGCAGATACTTTCTAAGATTAAAAAAACCTTTTCACATTGTCTAATATTTAAGCGCACAAGGCACCAAAGTTCTTTTCTACTCTTTCATTTAACATCTTTTTTAAATCACAATAGATATGAGCCCTTGGGATATTGGCATATCTTTTTATTATCTTCAGAATATTTTATTTTCTGTCCTCCTGTGAAATTTATTAGAAGTTTGCAAAGAGTCAAAATGAACCAGATACATGGTGGCTAGAAATCTAAATATTTGTTTTTTAAAAAAAACAATTCTGCCCTGACTGGGATTACGTTGTTCCTTTACCTCTTTGTGAAAGCAAAGGTAGGTACATTACTGCCATTAACTAATGTTTAGTTAACATTATTCATGTTTCTTGGATCATCTCTTGGATTCTCGACTACAAAGAATAAAACAGTCTCGAGCTTTATTATTGTTGTGGTTGCTCTACTCTAATATCGGAGCAGGACTCGCCAATTCCGGAACTTAGATCCTTCCACCAAAGAACAAGAAACAGAGAAGCCGGGAGAAAGGGAAGAAAGAGAAAGAGAGGGAGGGAGAGGAAAAGATCATGATTAGAATATGGCAGTGGTGGAATTTGAAATTTACCTGAAAATCAGCCAGTATCATTTCTCTATCCATGTTGGACGCTAATGCAGCCGGGAGCGGCCCCTCCTCTTGCCTGAACTGTACACCTGGAGGCTGCTGCCGGCAAGACCGGGGCTCAAGGGGGTGGGGGGGTGGGGGGTGGGAAGAGAAAGGAAACTACGCTCTCATCTAAACTCCAAACTTAGGTCAAGCCCTCACGGTCTGCTCCCCGAACGCTTTCCCTTCTTCCCAAGCCCGCTGTCCCGACCACTAGAAGGGCGGAGGAGGGAACGGAAGAGTGCAAGGCAGCAAACCAACCCTGCCTTTAAGCAAGGCGAATAGCCTCTTAAGTAGCTTCCTCCTTGCCCAGCGAGCGGCTGTCGCACATTTTGCCTGTCATTGAAGTCGCAAAGAGACGCTTTCCGGCTGCCACGTGACTGGCCCTCCTGTCAAATGCTGGCCACCGATAAAGCCTGGGAAAAGAGGGAGGGAGGGAGGGAGGAAGCGCTTTCGGCTATTATGTAAGAGTGCCGATTTGGATGCGGGAGCGGGGTGGGTGGGGGGGCAGAGAAGAGAAAGAGACGGCGGGGAGGTTCCCACCGCCCCCCCCTTTTTAAATAAATAAAAAAAAAAGAACGAAGGGTGCGGTTGGCGGGCCTGCAGAAGTCCTTCGGCAGATACCGATTCTTCAATGAGGAATGGAAAGGAGGGATGGAGCCTTGCTTTTATGAAAGTGTCGTAAATGCGCTTGCTTTGGCCGTTTGGGTTGTCTGCCCCACGCCGCGATGTTAAAGCCCTCCTCGCGGAGGGAGCCTTGGAAGGAAATAAAATTGATTGCAAGGTTACTCCAAGTGTTGCATGCAGTATTCTGGGATGGAAGGGTCGCGATCCTGTTCCTTAAAAGGATTGTTGTTTTGCACATAGCGGAGTTTACCTGCCTATTTAGCTCGTAAAATAGGCTGGGGGGAGGATTGTTTTAAAGTAAGTAGTGCAGGGCCATTTTTGGTATAAGTTAGATCTACTCACATAAGGAACGGTTGCTGGAATTGGGTATGTCTAGTTTAACGAAGAGAAGGACGAGGGGGGACATGATAGCAGTGTTCCAATATCTAAGGGGCTGCCACAAAGAAGAGGGAGTTAAGCTATTTTCCAAAGCGCCTGAAGGCAGGACAAGAAGCAATGGGTGGAAACTGATCAAGGAGAGAAGCAACTTAGAACTAAGGAGAAACTTCCTGACAGTTAGAACAATTAACCAATGGAACAAACTGCCTCCAGAAGTGGTGAATGCTCCAACACTGGAAGTTTTTAAGAAGAGACTGGACAGCCATTTGTCTGAAATGGTATAGGGTTCCTGCCTGGGCAGGGGGTTGGACTCGATGACCTCCAAGGTCCCTTCCAACTTTATTATTATTATTATTATTATTATTATTATTATTATTATTATTATTATTATTATTATTATTATTATTATTATTATTATTATTATTATTATTATTACCAATCTCTTAATTAAATGTATGCTGACTGCTATAACTTAGATCCTTATTCTAGGTGGATTTATGTCAACTGTCCTTTCCAGATAATTCATAAAGGTATGGAGTCTAGAGTTGCAACCAATAGCAAATTGAATTTGTTCCTATTGTGCTGTTTTTAAACAGTCTGGGGCATGGTAAACAACAATCCTAACTAGAACAGAACTGCAAAAATCTGGCTCACCACTACTGTAGGTCTCCAGAAAGAAAAGCAGAAAAACCTGCCATCTACTGACCATCCAGAAATTTGCCACAAAATCTAGTCGCTTTATAAAAATATCTCGGTTTTGTGGTACGCCGTTGGGAGAAAGCTAGGGTAAGCCATTGTTATAAATAAACTATTTCTACTTTTGATGTCAAACCAAGAATTATCAGTATTGTTCCAAATATAAGGGATTGTCATACATTACACATGGTTAAAGGTAGACTGCTTAAAGTCATTGAGGCACTCAGATCTACAGTACATTGGTTATAAACTGCAACACAAGAGAAAGCAACCTGGTTCTCTTCAAACATTTGGATTAACTACTACCATACTGCTAATGGTAATTAAATTTAAATTGAAAACATCTGTAAAACAAGTTGGCTATTTTAGTGCTAATAGAAGGTTGTAGAATGTCAGTTTGCAGTGAAATAATGGCATGAATTTTTCTGGGGAAACCAGTGATAATGAAAATAATAACATAGCAACCGTATGTTGGGAAAGTGATTATTTAAAAATTTGAAATGGTACATTGGCCTGAATATTTGATTTGGAATAAAATATAAAACTTTAGATAACTTGCACAGTAGTGAAAGTCAATGAGTGTAAAATCAAACTAAAGTATTGAATGAGACCACATTTCAAATTACAGGAATGTACAGGACACAGGATACTTGCTTAATGAGAAAAAAAGGTACTGTACAGCAGGGTGATTTAAGTTTTTAATGTCTTGAAGCTGCACTTTAAAAAAATCTACATAAGTTGCAACAGGCAGAGCCATGTTACAGTGAGGTCACACAAATGGGCAGGTTTTAATGTGAGCTTTGAGATGGGTGGAGTTTCTTTTGCTTTAATTAAGTTTAGTTTTTAAAGACATGTTTGTTGTTTTTAAATAGGAAATGACACCTCTGTAATAACAGGGTTTGCTTCTATATTTTAGCAATGGAACTCTGGAAAACCTCACCTGGTCATAATCCAAGGAGTGTTCAGCCCTTAATTTAAACCAACTCTGTATAGAAGACTTCCTCTACATCGGTTTATCTTTTCTGTTTAAGCCTACTACCAGAGATTTAAAAATATGTGTATATCTGAACTTTGTATGTAGCAACTCATTTAGGTCAAATATGCATGTGTAGGAAGAATCCAGAGAAAGAAATATTTTGGGGAATATTAAAAAGGCAGAATATATTTCTCCAAAGGAATAATGGAGACGCTCTTTAAAAAGGCAGAAACTTCTCTCTCCCCCCAGCCAGAAAACTCAACAGAAACCAGCGTTTAGAATGCAGATGTAATAATCCATTGAGGCAGGTTGGAGCCAGGAACCTAGAAACTGATGAGATTAGGAAAATAAAGACCCCTAAAATCTACATACCCCACCCAAACTCTAAAAGACATGACCTTTGAGGACATAATAGGATTAATCCACCAATACCAAAAGGTCACACTCGGACTCAGATCAAACTACATGACACAGGAAATACAAAGCCTCAAACAGGAACAGGAAACAACCTCAAAAGCCCAAGAAGGTATAAAAACCCACCACTCCCAGCTACATGTGGTCAGCTTTCCCAGAGCTATGTTTCTGTCTGGCTCTGCCCTTCAATAAACTACAACTTTCTAAAGCAGTCTCCATTTTGTTTATTCCCTGATGAAGATTTTTCTTTCAACACATGTTTTTTATGTCTTTTATTTTCAGTTGATAATAAAACTTAATACTCTGGCAGTACTCGAAAAGGAAATTCAAATCTGATTTGCTGATCTATGACCTTAATAAAGATTTGATTTACTTTGATATAGCTTTAATATTAGACTATGGCTGTGCCATTTATACTTACCCTTGGTATATATATTTTGGCAACAACTTCTTTCTGCCATAGTACTCTGGTTATGCTTAATCTTATCCTATGACTGAGACAGGTTTAAATTATCCTTAGCTGAACAGATGTTAAAGTAGTACATTCTCTTTTGTAAGTCATTAGCATCCAGCAACAATTGCAAGTTGTGTAAAATCTGTTAAGCTTTATTTCCCACTGAGTTGGAGATATAGACAAGTACCAGTTGCATGTGAGGTCATGAGATACTGTGAAGGTAAAGAACTCCCAAATAAAAATATTGCCCATGATTCTGCTCCCTTTATGATTGATTTGGTTATTGTTTTGTTTAACTTGTTTTCAGTTTGGGTTAACACAATATGATGTAAGAAGAAAGTCAAAAGAAGAGACCTAGCAGTAAACTCCTGCAATCAGATACGCCCCATTCTTACTGCAGTTGCAATGATTACATGTGTATTGAGCAGAGAGGGCAGTAAAGCTGGAAGACTCAACCAATTGCTTTGTCTATCCAGCACTGTATTTGCATAATCAGGACAGCATGTGTTGGAACAGAAATAGGACTTAGCAATGGGAGCAGCAAATTTCATGCTGGTATAGTTTTCTTCAATTGAAGCATGGGTATATAGCATTTAAAATTAAAGAAGAGTAGAGAAATGGTAAAACAAAATATACAGGAAGAGTTTAGTCTAAATCATGATTCACACCACAGCTTATTTTTCAGTAAAGATTTCATTTATGGAACATATGATAAAAAAATGATTCTCCATACGCATGGAGTACCATAACAAGCTACCTTTATACTGATTCAGCATATTATCCTGCTTAATTACTGTCAATATTGATTGGAGCAACATATCATTAAATGATATTGTTTGCCTTTATGTAGTAGAGATAATATGCAATATACAGGGATGTCCACAGCTACAGTTACTGGCCTTAAAACCTGAGTTGTGACTTGGCAATCCAAGCCCCACCTATTTTTAAAATGCACATTTTAAAAAGGGATGTGGCTTTGCTCACCCCATTACATTATTTGGAAGCCTATAAGCAATGCAGAGACTCATGTAACAGTACAATTCTACATATGCTTCAGCCTAACATCTCTTACTTCCCAAATAATTTATTGGATTGGAAAGCTGCCTATTTCATCAAATGACTCATTACAGGATTTTTAATTATGCCACAATGTTTTTCTATTAGTAATCCTAATATCCAGGATCATAGTGTAAATTCCATGCATAATTATTCAAAAGTCCTGTTGAGGAATGGAGTCTTATAGCCATTAGCAAACTAAACAACAGTGGTTCTTATGGGCAAATATATTATTTCAACTGATGATTGCTCTTTCTCATTAGAAGCCTTCCATACTAAATCTCTCCTTCCTATATGTGTCTGTGTGCTCATGAAGAACTCACCCTAAAAAAAACAATTTGCCACTGACATTGGAAAGACTCATAAACCTTTTTTTCCCTCTCCTAAGTTTTCTCTTGTGATAGCAGGAAAATACCTTTAGTTGGATAAAATGAGTCCTGTTGATTTCTGT